GTACCTACACCCTATATCCCTTGGTATTTGGTGTTTTGCATTTTGTGCATTTTATATTACATCAGTCAGTATTGTTCATTGTGTTGTTTTCTTTTTATATTTTGTTAAACCTGTCTTTTGTTAACTAGATGAAGAAGTCTACGAATGTGAATGCCTAACCTTTATTGAATCTCCTCCCCTTGGGGTATTTCCCCTATGTCCCCTATCCCCCCTGGGTTATATATGTTATGTTCCCACCACTGTTTCTGTCATTAAAAGGTGTATGGTTAAGTCCCCACTGGTGATCTGGTTCTGCTCGATATGGAAGGAGAGTCCCTACACCTCCCACAGCACTCGTGCACCTGCTCTGATCCTTTCAATTGGAGAGGGGGTACATCTTGGAGTACCACTCAGGTTACATAATAATGCGTTGAACATGCCAACTATGAAGCTTCTGGTTAAGGGTGATTTTATGGATAGACAAGTAGCCTTTCTTCTCTCTCACCTCCAGTCTCCCTCCTTATCTCTGGGTGGAGCTACATGGAGTTGGGGCAGGGGCCAAGGAGATGTAATGAAGAGGCTGATCTCCCCAAGCAACACAGTTTCTGCTCTATCTAGTAAGAAAACAGCCCTTCTTCGAACTATAGCGAGTCTTGTGCCCTGGGCAGTCCCCGGTCCAGTTGACTTTCAGCCGTGTAGTAGGTGCATTCATGTTTCCTGGGATACCTGTGGTGTGTTTGCAGATAAAAGAACACAGACAGAAAGGGATTTTCAGAAGCCAGCCTCTTGAGCAAAGAGGAAGTGCCTGTCACTAGGAAGAAAGGTAAGCCAGCTCCTTGAAAGAGTGACAGGAGTCAGGCTGATGACAAGGGAGGCAGCAATGTATAGATAGCTGACTGAGCAGCAGAGGTCCCAGAAAATGCTTTTCAAACAGTTTTTGTCCTATGTCAGGAACGCCGTGCGGCAATACAGGATCCTCCTGTTATACAGGCATGCCAAGCTCAAAGAAACAGACTGTGTTAAAATGTTCTTGAGCAGACTTCAGTCCTACCACTGGTAATCAGTGAGATGGGATGAAGAAGATGTAGCCAACTCCATCTGGAATATCAACACCTGGTGCAGGCTGTTCAAAGACCCCTTGGGAGGGGAAGTGAACAGAGAAAATGAAGAGGACAGATATTCAACCGGACCTAGAGACAGCGAGAAGGATTACAACAGGATCAGGACTTTTGGCTTCAGCTAATGCTCAGCACCTGGGAGCTCTGCAACTCAATAACCTCTGGACTTGTCTAGGGGCACAACAGCAGGCAGGGGATGCAGCATATCCACAGTGAGGACAGCCGTGCCCCATTGCCTTGTAGCAGGCCAATACGGGGTGCTCCTGTGCTAAGCCACCCACCTCACTGTGCCCAATCACTTTCCAGTCTCTGAGTGCTTCTCAGGGGGCGCCTCACATCTGGCCGACCCCCTTCCTGGAGCACACCCACTAGCCTTTTGGGTATCGCCACCACCACCCAGGGGCTGGACTGATCCTGGCTCTGTGTCCCCTGGGAAACACAGGGCTAGTATCCCGTGAGGGTACTCGACCCACTTCAAGATCTTGGGGTGCTTCCCTCAGTCTGAAGCACAAATAGTGTTCTCCCTTAGTCAGCCAAACCAATGGGACCCCAAGGCATAATCTAGCCCCTCTCCCAATAAATCTCCCACCCTAGGTATAAAGGAGAACTTTATTGGCTGCAAGGAGTAGGTAGGGTAGAGGGTAGAGCAATATCAGAGAAATCCCATAGAGGAAACAGGGTGGCTGGGTAGCCTTTAATCACGCATCCGACTGACTGGAAGCTATATACCTAGTTAGATCTCAGGTAGCTTACTCACAAGTATCATCCAGAGGGAGGCAGATATTAGGGCTGTGAGAGGCTTTGGACAGAGCTTCAGATCCGGAGAAGCTTCAGACACTTCGGAGTCTGAAGCATCACATCCAGGTTGAAGCACTGGCCCTGTTAGGCTTCCTGAAGTGGTTCGGAGCCGCCTCAGAGATCCGGCCATAGGGTATAATGGGAAAAGAATAAAATATCTATAACTTTGTTGTATTTTGTCTGATTTGGATGAAATTTTCTGGAGTGGTAGACTCTGTAGAGGATGAAGCCTGCCAAGGTACAAGAAGATCAGAGCAGGGGTTTTGCGGGAACAACACCCCAAATTCTTGAAAGCAAAACTCACATCACGTCTAGGCATTACAACATAGCGGGCTGAAAACTGCAGGGGTGGTAGCCTGTGCTTCGATCACAAAGTCTGCCAAGTTTCAAGAAGATCAGTGCAGGAGTTTGGGGGCAACTGTACCTCAAATTCTTTCAGCAAAACTCCTGTCACATCTATGTGTTACAATACAGGGGGGTCAAAACTGTAGGGCTGGTAGCTCTTACTGAGGCCACAAAGCCTGCCAAATTTCAATAAGAAATGTCATTTCAGTTCCAAACTTGTATCTCACCCACATTTCATGACAATATTGGGATAACCATGGCCCGAGGGATCCCTCTCACCCCAAACACCCCAAGCTTCCTCCCAGGCCACTACAGCTCCTATATATATAAGGGAAGAGGTTGAATGCCACGGCTGCGACACATAAAACAGATGTCTGTGGAGCATACCAGTCTGGGTAACACATGGCAGGGGTCATCACTCCCACATGGATGCTCAGGGAGCAGACAAACTCACTCAGTTCCCTAATTAGGCACCTGTCCATGGCAGTAGCTTGTTGGGCACAGACTGGCCCTGGGAGCTCGGGTTCAACAGATCACTTACCACATGTCTAGCTCCAGTTTTGAGAAGCATTGCTTCCCAGCAGAGAATGCCCAAGGCTGTCTCGGCTTCCAAATTCTTCATGGCTTCATGTTTCCTTCCAGAGTAGGAAGGTCCTATAATATTATGGTCATATTATACACTTGAGTCTACATTCCCAAGTAACCCAGACTGCACTGGTATGGTGACATACCCTGGTTAGGTAACAGCCCATCCGCCCAGGGGCACCAAGCTCAAAATTGGCTGTGTGTGCACATGTCTGTTTTGCAGCAGGGGAACATAATCAAGCTCTATGTGGCTGTGTAAGTTCACTGTTCCCTGGACACAGTCTAACACCACCAACTCTAGAATGACTTGCAGGTAAGAGAGTGGAGGTCAGCTCAGCACCACCTTTCCTAGGAGCCGGTTTGGCAAGGGCAGGTTTTGGTGCCCAACCTGCACAAGTAAGTACCCAGTTGGAAACTGGTTATTTCCTGCCTCTTCTCTCAGCTGACTTTTTGCTTCTCTCTCTCACTACCTGGAGCTGAAGCTTAGAAGTGAGAGAAGGCACTTCCTGGCTTGCAGCCCATATGTCACTTTTTGCCTTTCTTGAAGCAGAAGAAAGGGGCTGGAGGAAGAGCCCACAGTCCCTGACAGGGAAGTGAACCCATGCCAGGGTGATGAAAATGCCCAATCCTAGCTTCTAGACCACCAGAGAGGTCACATGACAGCATTTCTTTGCCTCTTCTAGTGCTGTCTCTCCTGCCTTTTCACAGCTCCCTGGATTTTATACAAGGCTGGTGCCAGCCGCCTTGAGGACACTTGGTCGTTCTGAACAGGGAAGCATCTTGGACCTGAGGCCAACTTGAATTCCCCACCTGGGGAAGTGCCAGGGTGTGGGGCTCTCTGAGCCACTCGTAGGGGGCCGAGCCCTTCCTGCCTTGTCTTCCTCACTCCCGGCATTCAAATCCAGCTGCTGCGAGGCTGAGCTTTGAGCTCACTGCAGCTGGTCCTGCATGACTGCCTCTCCCAGCATGCCCAGCGCAGCGGCACTTCACAGGCTCTGTGGTGCTGCCTGGCCAGACTTGTGGCTGGGAGCTGCTCAGCCACCATCAGCACCTCGATCTCCTCAGTCAACCACTTCCCAGGCACCCGCTCCCACTCTATGGGCCCTGGGTCCTCAACCTCAAGGCCCATGGCCCTTTGGAGGCGAGGCCCAAGCGCCATTTCTGCTCTCCAAGTGTCTCTACCCTAACCCATGTCCTCAGCAGCCGGGGTCATCTCTGCACCATGTTCCTGGCACCTCCACAGCCACCCAGGGCTGCACAGCTCATCCTGAGGCACGTGAAAGGCAGGACAGAGATGTCCAGGTGGGGGAGGGCTGTGCTGAGTCTGGCTGTTCCTGGCAGGGCGCGGGGCCCATCTCCTCATCCCCATATCCTCCAGACTGCTCTGTTCTCCCCAGCACACCAGGCACTCACTATCCCCTGCTCTTGGGAGGCTTCTTCCCACATCCAGCTGTGTCCCTGGAAGGGAAGGCAATTGGGCGTTTGCCTCATGGGATGGATCCCCGCTCCCTTCTTGGCCACCCTGGACCAGGCACAATGGCTCTTCTGCTCTCCTCATCATTGACAACTACGCTCTGGGCAGTTGAAAGCAGGAGGAATAGATGACCCGTCTCCGCCAGGGGCTGCACAGTGAAGTCCATGCCAAGAGCTATGGGGGGAAACATGCTAGGGCTCTGAGAGGCAGCAATAGGTGCCTGGTGGGGGCATGGGCTGGGAACTTGTTACATGTGGTGCACTGACCTACCCCTCTCTGCTGCCGGTACTTCTGGGTTCAGCCCATGTGCAGCAGGCAGTATGCATCTGTGGAAGAAATCAAACTTCGCCTTGTGGCTATATCAGAACTGGCAGAGCCATCTTGGTTCATTTAAAGCTCTACAAGTGAGCACAAGGAGGGTTCTCAAAGGAACTCTGACCTCTACAAGTTTACAAGTGTATTTATACTTTAGACAGTGAGAAAAGATGCAGCGTTCAGACAAAGCAACCTTGAAAGAAACAGGAAGAAGTTGATCATTTGTTTGTCACACGTAAGCAGTTTACTTTTTCAGCAAACACATTTTTTTGGGAACAGCTATCAGCTTCTGGTTCGGGGGAAAGGAGGAGGTTAACATCTGCACACAGCTTAATATATCAAGACAAAACAAGGCATGAAGGTTTTTTCTTATCTTAGAACATTTTGAAACATCAACATCTTTTTCTCTTCTCTTTCTCTCTCTTTGTCTCTCCTCTTAGTCAAGTAAGAGGCCTGGTTAAACTTATTTCCACACATCCCATACTGGCCCCTGCTCCCCAGGCACAGCATGCCTTGGGACCAGCACTTGCTGTGTGCAGGCTGGACCCATTGCCAGGGCACTGCCATGGATTCACCCGCACACCCACAGTGCAGCCCACACAGCAGCCCAGCACCCTTCATTCATCCCATGGGGTCAGATGAGTTTATCCACAATTGCACTGTTCTGCTTCTCTTCATCACAAACATCAAGAGGAGGATTCAGACACCTGGGATTGGCTCTCCTTTCTATCAAAATGGGAGCAAAGCTTCAGAATTGATGGAAAAGTTAAAACTACCTCCAGAGAACATACGAGGGGGGAAAAAATTAGCAGTGGATGGTTTCAAGCCATCGATCTCTCCCTGATGGATTGAGCATGCTCCCACTGCACTACCCAACAAGAAATACCTGCCTACTCCAAAAAGCACCTGGAGCAGTGCCCTGGAGGCTGTGGGCAGCATGGACGGCAGTGGGGGCATCTCGCAGAGGCCTCACACTGCTCAGTAGGGAAGTGCTGGTGGTGGGAACTCAAGGAGCAGATGGTGAGGTTTGGTGGGTGGGTAAAGCAGCAGACAACCCGGGGTGCCCACAGGACAACAGAGACACTCACCACAACACTAACAAGGACAAGGCTGGGGAGGTGCTGTCGCTGACCCATCACCTAATCCAACCTTTGGGGCACTGGGGCGAATACCCAGACATGGGGAAAAGCCTACACTCTGGCCTGCAGAGATCCTTGTTTTTCTTCTGGATCACCTTTCTCTTCCATCCCTTCCCCTGTGGTTTGGAAGCAGAAGTGGCAGAAAGAGAAAAGGAGTTGCACTGGCTGGGAAGTGAACCCAGGTGAACTACTTAAACGGCATCTGGGCTCACCACTATACCTCCAATGCTAGGCACCTTGAATGCTGTGAACCAGCTGGGGAAGGAGGAACCCCAAATACTGCATTTTTGCTTTGCCAGGATCCTTGACCTGCTCCAGTATGGGCTTTTTCAGATGTCTCCAACTGGGGATATGGGATCAAGCCAGAACCTGTGCATTTACATCTGCTCCCACCCACCATTGGCTGGTGCGGCCTGGACAGCGTCTAGCCTGTCTTGGGCAGATGTGGAGGATCCAGGATCCCAGGGCTCTGAGTGAAGAGTAGAGCCCAGGTGGGGAGTAGACCCCTATAAGGGAACCGGAAGAAGCCAGCATGTCCCATAGGAGTGGGGATCCTGGATAGGCCAAAGGGTACTAAGGCTCCTTACTCAGCTAAACAGACCCCCTGCCTCTGTTCCAGAAGCCCTGCCTGTTACCATGACTTCCACCTCCCCACTAGTTCTAAGATCAATACTTTATCCATAGGTGCAGGAGATATGGCCCAACACCTCCAAAACATGTAGTCATCTTTTGCAGACCCCTTACGTGGACCACAGGTTGAAAACCACTGAACTGAGAGCTGGTACAGGTGCACTGTCTCAATTGCACAGTCTGATCTCAGCTCCCTCCTCCCACAGCCAGAGCCAGGGCCGAATTCTCTCCCTAGTGAAAGAGGCTGACAGGAAGGTGAAGATCAGGGCTTCAGTATCACCATTAGAAAATGACACCCACCCCCCTGCACAATCCAGACAAACACAGATCCTGTTGGGCATCTGGTACAGGGGCGTGAGATCAGGGGCAGTAAGAGCCTGGAACTTGCCCCCCCACAACCCCACAGCCCAGATTCCCTCTTCAGGATTAAATTTGATCCCTCCCTTCCTCCCCACAGACTCTCTGGCAACCCCCACAGCCCAGAATTTCCCTGTCTCCACTTCCACCTCCACCGTCCAGCAGTGTCTCCCGGAGGTGAATTTCTCACAGCCCAGCACACAGCCCCAGAAGTCAAATCTCTCAGGATTGTTGGGCAGATGCTTCTGTGTCCCTTTCCATGTCACACTTCTTTGATCCTCTGACAGGATGAGGGAAGGATGAGCCGTGTCTGGATCCAGAGTCACTTTCTCTGCAGGAAAAGAAGGGAATCAGAGCATCGGGGCAGAGCTCAGCCTGGGAGAGAGGGGTTGATCACGTCAATGGCAGCATCGGCCCGAGCTGGAGGGTGAATCAGGCAGCATATACTCATCTCTGACTAGAAAGGAGCTCTGAGGCCTCAGTAAAGGGCAGGGCAGATTCACTTCCTACAGGCAGAGACAAGCCAGGGACACAGAAACAATCTGCTGGGTCAGGGCCGGGACTCAGGATCATTCCACTCCTGCACCCACCTGTCCTCAGGGAGAGGACTAGAGACCCTGGTGTCATAGGGGAGCCACAGAAGAGGGTATGACAGGGAGAAGATAGACACAGGTCACCTCTTTTGACCTTGGGAACAGGATGATTCTGTAACAGAGGCGAGTAAAGAAACCAGATAAAGAAATGGGAGGTATTTCATCCTGGAGACTCCTGGGGGGGAATGAGCAGGAGGAAAAGGTGGAGAACAAAGGTAGAGGAAACTACAGATACAGTGGAAGAAATGTTAGAGAGGAGAAGAGAGAGCTGTATTAAACAGGAAGGTGAGAAAGACCTAAATGAAGAAAAGGGAGGAGAGAGGACAGAGAAAGGAAGTGAGTGGCAGAAGAAGGAAGATTAGAGAAATGGACCCTTTGTATATGTGAAAATATCAGCTCACATGACCACACTCTTCATCAAACCACTTTCAGCAAACTTCCAGTCCCTTCCAACTGCTCCTTCATATCTTAATCTCTGTGTATCAGGCCTGTTCAGGTGGGGCCTCCTGCTCTCTCCATACCTTTCCAATACCTTCTTACTCATGTCCTACCTTTCTGGTCATTCCTCCCAATCCTGATGTTTCTCCCTCTTTGCACTCCCACACCTCTTCCACTGTAGTCTTTCTGTAATTCTTTACCACCCTGTGAAATTCATTTTTCTCTCTTCTGTCCCCAGGTTTTAATTAGAAAAATCTTTATATTTCTTCTTGTCTTTTTCATTAAATCCTCATTTGTCTCTGCCCCTGAATTTTTAGGAGGCAGTTTATAAGCTACATACATACATAGAGTCCAGTTTGTTACTTTCCTACAAACCTACTTTCTTACAAAAGGGTCTTGCTTTCCTAGCTTTTTTCAGAGGCAGTGAGGAAGATACAAAAAGCAGCAGCTAGAGGTTGCTGATAGCTCCTTGGTCTGTGGTAGTTGGTAGGATGCTGAGGGCTGGGGGTGCATCCAGGCTAGGGTGAGAGGAGGGCTCAGAAAGCTCAGGCAGAAGCACTGTCCAGGCAGACTGAGGTAGGGCAAGCCGAGGAGAGGGTACCCCATCTGGCCTTATGACTGTGGGTGAGGTAAAATCTTGTCCCATCTCATAATGGGCTGTAAAATGCAGGGAGTGAGTGAGCTCTGCCCTTAACACCGATGTCCTGCTACACAGCAAAGCAAAGATGTTGTCTCTCAAGGTGATATTTTTACCTTTCTCCACAGCTGGCGCAGTTCTTCCCAGCCCTGAAATGAACCACAGAATTGAACATGAAAGCTTATTCAAACAAATATTTTGGGAGTGTTCAGTGCTGTGTAAAATATCATGATTGGGAAGAACTAAGTTACAGAGCTTCAGCATAGAATAGATAAATCCCCAATAAATACCTGTGGGTGTGTCTACACATGCAATTATTGCAAAGCAATAAACTCCGGGGCAGTTTAAGCTATTCCTGGGTGCAGCATCTACACGTACACCCAGGACAGCAGCAGTCTGAGCTGGGGTGGAGTAGCCCCAGACTGGCAGGGGGACGGGGGGGGTTAGCCCAGGCCTCCAGGTGGCAGAGTTGGGCAGCGAAGGGGCTGGCTGGGGCAGAAGAGTGCTGAAAGTGTGGAGCTGTGTGGCTAGGTGGCAGGCGGCAGTCCGGCCCCCAGCTGGCTGAGCTGATTGGGCACAATTTACGCCCATGGTCAGCATCTACATGTGTTTAATCATGGTACATTACCCCAGTATAAAATAGTACTGTCTCTGACAGTACTATCTTACTCCAGCATAAATTAGTTTACTGTGGCCTAATACTGTTGTACATGTAGACAGCAACACTTTACTCTGCAGCTAATCTGTCTACTCTGCAGTAAAGTGCATAAGTAGACATGGTCTGTGTGACTGAGATTGAGTCTTCTACTAGTGGTTCATGTATGTGTATGTGTGAATTAGGATTCAGCCTTCAATGACATTGGTGGTTTCAAACTGTGTTCCAAAGGGTTCTGTGAAGAGACTGGGGGTAATGGAGGAATGAACTGGGAGGCAGTGCATTGCCCCTGTTGGGCCAGGTTGCCTGGTTCAGTGTTACCCCACAGGATAGGGGTAGAGGTTGTGTGGCAGAAGAAAGGATATGAAAGGGTCTGTGACTTCAGGAACTTTGAAAACCAGTGAATTATGCAATCTCAAGCTACTCCCCTCACCCTGGGAAGACCCTATCTTTCCCTGTTAGTCTACAAGCAGCAAGGATTACAATTTTATGGAAAATAATAAAATAAGCATTTTCTATCCTTTCAGTGGTGGATATTTCAACCTAAAAATCTATTTTTCCATTCTCCCTGTGTGACTGTGATTTCATGTATTTTTTTCCTGTCCTCAATATCTGCTATCTCAAGGTGACAATTCTTAGATTTTCATTTGTTCTTCACAGGAATTTTCCAAAAGCCTTGATAACCACCGCCACCTTTCTGTGAAGCCCTTCTTTTATGAAATGAGGTGGCTGATAATGGCCATGCTCCTACTGTGACTTGGCTTCTTACAGTCTCTGTTTATGTACATGAATCCTGTTAGCAATTCTGAAAATTTAAACTGAGCAACCTATCAAGCCCCTTTCCAGCCCTTTTCCTACATTTCCCTTCCCGGTTCTCTCGTCTACCAGACCCATTTACACTGCAGCTTCGGGAACTCTTAGCTGCCACTGGAGTGAGGGGAGAATTTTATGTTCCCAAAACAACAACTGTGGACGCACAAATTTTTTAATCTTTTCATCTTAGCAAAAAGTCATCCCTGGCCAAAACTGTTAGTCAATACAACAGTCTGACTGCATAAGGAAATGGGTTGGGTAATCTCCGAAAGAGTAAATTTTCAGTGTTGATTCATCATTAGCGTCCATTACCTGGACAGATGACGTCTCTTCTCCACCCTGAAACCAAGCAAAAAAACAAAAAAAGCCAGGGATTAAAAACTCATCCAAGGAAATTTATCAATCAAAAGATGCTTGATGAAATCCAGTTGGCCAAGAATCCAAGCAAGGACAAAGGGACATTGGTAGAAAATGGGACAACACATTGGAGAATGTGTAAAAATGCTGTCTCATCCTTCCACTGATGTGGGAATGAAAGAGGTGGGAAATCCTATTACATGACCCCTCACTAAGACTAGTAATAGATGTTACAAAATGATGCAGATCAACTGTGCCATTATGCTTCACTGGAAGTATAATTTGTTTGACTGAGTGGAACAAATGTCACCTTTTGCTCCACCTGTTGATGGTGCAGGACAAGGGGCAATATGTTGTCTTGGGATTTGAGGGTCTGGTCCTGTGAACCCCAAGAATTTCTTGGGGGCACATCTGGGTAATCAGGGAGAGAGGCTTTCCCTGCTTACCCAGCTGTCCCTGTAATCTCTGGGAATGCATCTAGGGAAGCAGGAGAAGCCCAGCTGGGTAAGCAGGTCCCAGCATGGATGCACAGGGTACTGGATATTGCCAGGCTTTCCCAGCTTATAGACATGCCCCTGGAGATGGCAGGGCAGGATTCTGTAAGATGGAATCCTTGACTTTCCTGCCTTTAGAGAGGCATCCCAAGATTCCCTCGGGTGCCTCTATGCAAGTGGGGAAAGATGGATAGGTGCTCTAGGGATTTGAGGGGCCCTCAGGCCCCTGGAGCACCTGCTTATCGGGGCTGGAGAATGTGCGTCACTAAGAAATTCCACCACTGGCACCCAGATGTCTCCCTGCCTCAGTGGTCCCCACATCTGTCACCTTCATGAGTAAAGGAGGTAAAATGCAGGGAGTGCCTTAACACCGATGTCCTGCTACACAGCAAAGCAAAGATGTTGTCTCTCAAGGTGATATTTTTACCTTTCTCCACAGCTGGCGCAGTTCTTCCCAGCCCTGAAATGAACCACAGAATTGAACATGAAAGCTTATTCAAACAAATATTTTGGGAGTGTTCAGTGCTGTGTAAAATATCATGATTGGGAAGAACTAAGTTACAGAGCTTCAGCATAGAATAGATAAATCCCCAATAAATACCTGTGGGGGTGTCTACACATGCAATTATTGCAAAGCAATAAACTCCGGGGCAGTTTAAGCTATTCTTGGGTGCAGCATCTACACGTACACCCAGGACAGCAGCAGTCTGAGCTGGGGTGGAGTAGCCCCAGACTGGCAGGGGGACGGGGGGGG